TATCCTAATATGCATTTTCTGTTCTAAATATAAAAATTAACATTAATTTTTACCTAATATTTATTAAGCCAGGACTGTTGGGGAATAATTTTTAAAGTGATTAAGAAAGCTACCTAGGATTTAAGATTTAGCTGTACCAAATGTCATTTAAATGAAAGAACCCTCTAACTAAAGAGTCACATTTTGCCAAAACAATCCCTACCTTGATTATATTTATGGTTGAAACCCATGAATTTTTTCACAACTACAACCTCACACACTTCAAAAAAAGTAGTCACTTTTAAGTTGAAATAATTACTTAAGATGGAAATACAAATATTATTGTTTCCTACAAACTGTAGCTTATTTAAAGTAGTGGAACATTATGAAAGAAAATGGAATTTGAGATCAAAAGCTACAAGCTGAACTTCTGAGAAAAAGATAAAATATAGCTGAAATAAGTCTAGTTTAGAATGATGTCAAACTTCTGTGTTTTTTTTTCTGCCAACTGAAATATATTTACATTTAGTACTTTTCCTCTAAATCTATAAAAATGCATCAGAATCTGACTTTTCCTTTTCTTATGACTCTTCAACTAACAGCTCCTCAACATTTGGATGAGGACACATACACCTCTAAAGTCAAAATGAAGCCCATACTTCAGTGAAACCCTAAAGTAGAGATAAAATGTAGAGGCTCAGGCTAAAATGCATCTAAAAATTCATGTAACGAAATTCCACTACCCTGGTAATAGATATAATATACAAACCAAACTAGAACTGTGAGAAGAATCCTTGATTTAGGCAGATTCATTAGAATCTTGGGTTTTAATTTTGTGTGATTTTTTTTTCTGCAGGTTTATATAATTCTGTTTTCCAGATTAAAAAACTACATGTGTTCCAGAAAAAAAATATTAAAAAGAGTTGAAACCATAAATTCAATTCCAAAGAGCCAAAGGCAAAGTGAAGTTCAAGATCTTCATCTGAACATCAATCAAGTCGTAAGGGAATCATAGGCAGTATTTGTGGTACTATGAATGCAACTAAAACCAGACACACACACTCACAGATTACATATTAGAAAGATCTTATATATGAGTCCCAATAGTCTTATTGAGAAATGCATACAAATTAGCATTCATTTCAAACATAATATTAGAAATGCATACACCTGCAGACAGAAAAATGTAAAGCTTGCCTGTGGGCTTTGGTCCCAAAACCGTGCTAGCAGTCCTTGCCACCAATGCACAGCCTCCCCCCAATTCCCAAATCTAACAAATTTACAGAAAGGGAGGCTCACATTTATGCCGAAAAAGAAAGATCATGGCTGGACCATTTAAAGAAAACACTAATTATAAAATTAATAACATTTAAAAGATAATTCAAGACATGGTTTTCTCTCTTTAATTTGCCACTCTATTACCTAGCCAACATTTTCCTTGTAATTTGGGAATTCCTTTGCTCTCAATAATCTAAATAATAGTTTAAATCCACTGCAACTAAAATGCATTGCATTCATAGTTTTTATATTCTCCATCCAATTATATCCTCCCTAAAGTGTATATATTAATGTCATTTATTCATTTTAAGAGGAAATGTTTTTCACTAATAATTATCTCATCCATAAAATCATCAATGTTGGGATAAAAAGAATGGTCTTCATTAATGTAAAGTTAATTAATAGCAATTATTTGAGGAATTCTGAAAATATGCTTTGCTGACACTATGAAATTCAGATGAAATTTCAATCTACAATTATGTGACAGCAAGAAATCTGTACCATCACTTTAAATTTACAGATGGAAAAGTTTTTGTGAACGTCTTTGAGAGCAATTACAACATACTGGGACCTAAAATAGTAAAACAAGGCAGATCATGAAAATGCAACATTATGAGGATGTGGGGATTCAGTTTCCTTCCCTTTCATTTTCTGTTTTTGTTTGATTTGCTATAGAGACTTTACTTGTGGACAACTCTGAAAGTACTGTCATCAAGTAAACAAATGCATAAATGTTACGTTCCCAGAAATATATGGAAAACTAGAAAAATAATAGAACCAAAAGCATTGAGAGATGTGTATGCATCACTGCAAATGTTGGAATTGATGTTTACTATTCGTCTACTCTAAGTATATGATCAGCAAATATGTTACTAATAATAGTTAAGGACACTCACTAGCAAGAAACATAGCAGCTGCTTGAAAACCCTAGCTAAAAATTGGTTTAAATATGACTCATATGTCTGATTTGCCACTCCCAGTTCTCCGTGTCCATGAAGTGTTTCCTGTCTTGTTTTATAAATGACCTTCTCAGTGACCTTTGCAGCTTAGTGGGGCAAGTTAGAACAAGATGGTGAAGGCACCATTTGCTGCATAATTATATGATCACAAACTGACACAGGAAGAAGAAGAAGAAGAAAAAAGGGTTTAATGTGGATAGGGAAGAGGATTTATCAAAGTCATATTTGTCTATCACGAACACTAAAATAAGCCACAAAATACAAGGGAAAATTCTATATCTGCATTTCAAGTGTTGAATTTGAAGGTAGGGAAAAATGGATGCTTCTAACAGTGAGTGATAAAAGAGACTCAAATTTTTCAATGCTTACTCAAGGAAATTGAAATTTGGTGGAAACTATATAGAGAAGACTAAACATTATGCCTGTTTTAGGGGGAAATGTTAATAGAATAGAACAGGCTCCATCATGCTGTTTCTACAGAGTGGTGAAAGTTAGCATCACCAAATATGCATGGGTTTCCTTACTTGTGCATGCCATTGTGGGTGGATCAGACTCCCTTCTGAAATAATCCTTTTCACAGACACAAGAGGTTGAAGCTTCCTCATGGGTATAACTGTGAGGTGGACATTTGCTGCAGCTCTGGCTGTGAGGTGAGGCTTTGAAGAACCCAGGTCTGCACACTGTCAAAAGAAATAAGAGACTAAGCTTTTCCCGGGAACAGATGCAGTGTTTGTTTTGTGAATAATGTCATTATTTTGACTAGTATACACAGATTACAGATAACACAATCTTTGCAGCAATTTTAAGAATTTTTCATAAGCTTCTGGATCATAAATACCAGGCTATTCATTCAGATCATCAAATATTTCCTTAAAGTATTTAAATTAAACATGTATGCAATGTACATATTTTTTCAATGATTTTTATGCTACAGGAGCTTATAAGAAATTATATTTATAAGTGGCAAATATTTATGTGTATTTAAAACTGAAGCAGTGCTTTGTGCACAATTTTCACTAACTCTATTATTAATTACTGCAACTATGTTGAAGAAATACAAATTATTCCATATATTCTTAGAATGGTATGATACACAGTAGGTGTTCAAAATTTCATTATTGAATAAATAAATAAATGAGTAGATGC